TGAGCCATCTCCCCACATCCTGCTTGGTGTCACCAATGGCCCTAGTCCTACGTGGCATCTTGACCTGCAGGCCAAGCCCTGCCATGGATGGCCATCCATTTGAGCTGCCTAGTGTCTGGGCTGTCAGACTGAGCCATCTGGTGTCACCGCTTGCCTGAGCACCTGGCGTAGCTGCTTACCCCTCAACGTTCCTCCACGCCCCTTAAGAGAGTGTGCCCCATATTTGTCAGCATTTGTCCTTTTTCCTCTTGCCAGTGCTTGACAAAAATTAACAGGATAAATGGCAAGTTCTGTCAAAAATGCCATGACCCCCCACAAAAAGCTTAAAAAGGGTACTGTTCTGGCCAACATGGGTTGAATGGTTACCCAAGATTTGTGTTTTGTAATGTGAAACACAGCTCTCATTCTTATCCATAGCGTGTAGATCCATACAGATGATTTCTCTATAGATCTGTAGGTTTAGAGTGGCTATTCTTCTGTTAATTCACATTAAAAGACCTAAGAAACTTCTGTGTCTTGTAACTTAGCAAGGGATCATTTTAGCTTTGCTATGCTCCGGGAAGGCTTGTGCACACTTGCTTTTGTCTAGAGAAGTTATCTTGACTATCAAAACATGTGGAAAGATTCTTTTTTCTGTGTGTTAAGTTGAAAGGGATGACAAATGGTTAGATGCCATATGTTTGGTGCATAACCCTGACAGCGTGAATGGTGTGCTTTGAAGTTAAAGCCTTGTCCACACTCACAAAAATCTAAATGGCTTTTACTGTCATATTTTAAGCAGGTTAGCAAAGCAGTCTACAAAACAGAGCACAGGACAGGCACTGAGATGTGTTAAGAAAAAAATGTGTTCAAGAACTATTCTGGCAAAATTCCAGCCCAGTCATAAAATGATAATAGCTTAGTTGGAAAGTTTTTATTTGCATTAAAATATGTGACGCTACTGCGTGTGATTTTAAACTGCTAACAGGGCCCGACTTGGAAATCTATTCCCCCTAGATCTCTTGGTGCCATGTCCCAGTGGAATGGAACTTTAGATACAGGACTCCAGGAAGTTGGTCTTATGTTCCTCACTAGTGTGGCCAAGGCAAACTTCCAAAGGAAAGAAAAGGGAATCAGTCATATTTATTAATGCACTAGAAACTGAGCCCAGACAACTTTAGAACTTTGAAGCATCTCAGATGCTTTTTCTGTTTGTTTTGTTAAAAGATTTTCACCAGTTCTGTAGCAATAATTTAATAAGAGGTAAATGATGCATGAAATCTCATCAGCACATATGCTGTGATGCTTGGTGGAGTCTATGAAAACACACCAAAGAGATTCACACTTGGCATAAAAAGTTGTTATGTCCAGGCACCTTCAACTCCCACTTCCATGGTTTGGCATATATTTCTATGCCCCACCTATTTGTTCTGACTTCTCCTCTCATAATTTAGAAAAGTGGCCATATTCTAGATACCATACCACTCTGCTAAGGGAAGAGCTGAAAATTGTTTTCCTTTATTTTTTGTCAGCTCATTTTTTTTGACAGTTGGAGTTTATTTATGTTTAAAATTCAGTCCAATTTCATGTTTTAAGGGCTGTCTCTACTTAGAAGCCAAATTCTCTTTTTATTTCTATCTTTATTTCGGCAAATGAAAAGTAAGAGGGATTCAGATAAGATTTCTGAGGAAACTTAAAACTTCAACAGTGACAAATATTCTGCACAGCCCATCCATCTATCTTACGTTGTCATGAACTCCACTTTTTATTTTTACATGTTTTTTCAAAGACAGTCATTCGGGGTATATGGACAGATGGAGTTGAGAAATCTGGGTTTTGACCCAAATTGAGGAGGGGGACCAATAGGAGCACAGCTTCAATGGGACTCTCATCACCATGGGGATTGAGAAATAAACACGGGGACCTCTAAATGGAGGTCCCAAAAGTGCTTAGGAAACTGTCATCCCTGCCTGCTCTGTGGGAGATTTGGGTAAACAAACTGCCCTCTCTGTTGGTTTAAAATAGTTTCTCAGCCCTCTTGTCCAGACTGTCATAGTGGCAACTACTTATTGACACCGTAGAACTGCAGAAGTAGAGGCAGCTTCTGCTCAAGAAGAAGACTGAGGTTCTAGGGATGAAAACCGGCCAACAGAAGTACTAATGGGGTTTTGTCTTAGACTTCAGTGGGGCCAGGTTTTCATGTTCTGTGTGTTGCAGGTTTGAACTAAAGTGCATTTGCCAGTTGTTCTAGGGTGTTTCTTCAGTATATGCCCCATGCTATGCTAGGCACAGTGCTAAACTTACAAATTAGACACTTATCTAAGCAGTAAGGTCATCAGAAAATTAAAATAGCAGGATATTTAGAAAAGAGTTCAGAATGAAAGCTGATCTTGTGACTAACACAGGACTGGGACTCTAGAAATCTGGGTTTAATTCCTAGATATGCCACAGATTATGTGCATACCCCTGAGCAAATCACTTAATTTCTCTGAGCTAGATTCAAAAAGAAATGTAGGTGCCAATAAAATCACTGACATTCACAAAGACTGAGTCGCCTAGGGGGAGAGATGGGTACCTAAGAATGGGATTAATAAAAGCCAGCAAGGGAAGTAGCTCCTTGCCAAAACTAACCAATGGGAAATGCCTAGTTGAGGATAGTGTTCTAAACTAGGGATGTAAATGAGTAGTTGACTATACAATTAAATGATACGCCTAGGCTTATCGGTTAAACTTCTCGACTACTCACATTTCCCCCTTTGCTGTCTCTGTATCAGAGGCAGCAAGGGGGTAGCAGGATCTGGTGCTGAGGGGAGCCAGCTTAAAAGCTGGTCCCCCCCAACACCAGCTCTGTGGTGCTACCTTCCCCTTCCTTCCCCTTGCGTGCTGCTGCCTTCCTCAGAGGCAGCAACATCAGAGGGGAGGAGCAGGGGAGGCTGCTGCAAAGCAGCCTCCGCCCACAGCGAACCCAGGCTCACTGCAGACAGAGGCTGCTCCATAGAATGCAGACCAGCCTCTGTCCATGGCAGGCCAAGGCTACCTGCAGGCAGAGGCTGCTTTGTGGCAGCAGTCTCTGTCCTCAGGGGATCTGAGCTCCCCCCAGATAGAGGCTGCTATGCAACTATTCAATTACCGGACATCTAAAATCCCTATTCTAAACCCTGGTCCTCTCCCAGAAATAGACTCCTCCTTGCAGCCTGTCTGCTTGGGATTTTCAGCTGAAAACCCTCTTTTGGATTTGGTGCCCACACGGTTTTAGCAAAAACCCACAGGGTGAGGAAGTGAGAGTGCTTCCTTGTTACATCTGGCACAGTGATAGGTGTGTTCACTTGGGAGACACATCACTGCTAGTTCAGCTCCCTTCTTCAGTCTTTCCTGTTGAAACTTTTCCACTGTGGATAAATAATTTTAAAAAAATGCTTGGTAGAGAAGGCTTGGGTCCAGAGCCTTCCTCCTGAGTGCTCTAGCCACCAGGTTACAGACTCAATCTCATGCTAGAACACACTCGCTCTCGCTCTCTCTCTGGTCCAATAATTCTTTCATTAGTTATCCATAGTGAAATAGCTTCAACAGGAGAGATGGAGATAATCTCTCCTCCATCAGAATGTCCCAGTGCCCCCTGGTCTGGGCAACCTTCTGTGAAGTGTCGGATCCCAGTTCAAATTCCTTCTCACCCTCAGGTGGAAAGGAACCTGAACTGGGAGGTCTCCTACATTCTAGGTCGGGGTGGGCAATCGTTTTTGAAAGGAGGCCACTTCAAACATTTTCCAAGTGGTCATGGGCTTGGGCCGAAGGGGCGGGGCCTTTAATTAGCAAGAGTTGAAAGGGATTGTGCCTCCCCTGCAGCTCCGAGGCAAGTGTTAGCAGAGTGTGGGAGCTGCGAGCCCTTTCAGCTCCTGCTATTTAAAGGGCTCGTGCCTTAGCAGTTGCCCAGAAGGTGTGAGCCCTTTAAATAGAAGCAGTTGAAAGGGTTCACGCCTGGCTCCCAGGCAGCACGTTAGAGGGTGGGGCTGGGAGCTGCTGCATGGGCTGGATGAAAGGGCTTGGTGGACTATATCCAGCACACTGACAGGCTCTTGCCCAGAGCTGTTCTAGGTGGATACCCTGACCACTATGCTAAAAGTTATAAAGGAAGTCTTGATTCCCTCTGTCCCCAGCCATTTTCTGTAAGCTCATCTCTAAAGGGCCTGATCAGAGCAGGCTCTGAGCTTGCCTCCTGGATCAGGTCTTGCAAGTGAGTTAGGCAGAATGCCTATCTTCCCTTCCCCAGTTTGTGAATCATTCCAGGATACACTTGCAATACATTTGCTCAGATACAGAAACATAGGTACCTAGAAACTTTTATGCGTAATTTAGGTGCCACGTGATTTTAGCACCTATTGAATTCAGAGGCAGCAGAGTGAATGCTTTGTGAATTCCAGTGGGGCCTAATTCTGCGATTTAGGCACCTAATGTCAGGGCGAGGACTATCTCCTACCACTGTAGGTGCTTTACATTCATGTGGAAAAGTTCCAGTCTCAGTTGGGTTCTTTACATACTGCTGTAATAAGAATAGCATTTCCACAAGTAGCTCACTGGTCCCAGTAAATCAGCTCTATAGCACATGGTATTCATCCATGTTTCTGAGATAAGTTTGCTGCTGGAATAAAAGCTTCTTGCTTCCATGGCAGATGCATTTTGAAAACTTCTCTCTTTCACTAACAGAAGTTGGGCCAGTGAAAGATCTTACCTCATCCAGCTTGTCTCTCTTCCCACTGCAATTCTTATGTACATGATTTTATGTAATAGAAAATAGTATGATTCACCAGATTCATCCCTTTGGCATATTACTGAAAGATTGCAGAGAATAAATGGTATCATGTCAGGAGAGTAACACAAAGTGATCCCATATCTCAAGAAATGTACCAATTTTTTCCATTAAAATCCTCTTGCAGAATGTTTCCAGGATGCTCTGTATAAACTTTTATACGGAAGAAATTGTTAATGTGACAGGATAGCAAACTGAATGCAATCTTGTTTTTCAGGTCATCTAAATCAAATGAATGAAAGAAACAAATGGATTAAGGCTGACACACAAGATGGTTCAGTGCATCTTAAAAGCCAAAGCTGGTTCCAGTCTATCAAGCTGCAGGTTCCTTGATAGGTCAGAGGTGTTTAAAATTCAAGGAACAGTGAAGAAAGATTACTGTACAATAATGGTGAAAGTGACTTATTAAAATATAGCAAACAGTATATTAAGTGAGGATTTTTTTTGCCTAACATATGTATATGTTAAATGGCTGCTGTTTTTTAACTGCTGTATGAAACAGGTTTTACTTTTAGTGCCTTCTATAGTTGTGTACAATCTTGTGAATTCTGGATTTGTGTAAAACTTGAACTGCTTATCCCGTAAGATTAGACCTCAATGAAAAAAATTCCCAATGGTTATAGCTGCCTGCTGCGTGCTTCATAATATCAGAGAAGCAAACGGTAGAAAGTTTCAGCTGAGAAGGTGGGAAGGCTGATGTTGAGCAGCCAGATACCAAGGCTACAAGAAGAGCTCAGCGGGGAGTTATATAGCTCAGGGAGACTTTGAAAGACCATTTAGATACTGAGTACTGAGGGTGTTGTAGTGTGCTCTGCCTGGCATTGGGGTTTTTTACACTTGGTATGAACCTTTTCATGAGTGCAGTTTGTTGAAGTAATACAACATTGCAAAGGTACCTCTTGTTGTTATCTGCGAATGATGTCAACCCTAACCAGGATATGTTATGAACTAATGAAGAATTAAGTTTCCATAAACAGATTTTTATTCCAAACCCAAGCAAACAGACATATTTTATAACTGACTGAAATGTTATACATGCAGGGGAAAGAAGAGTCATTTTCATTTCACAAACAGATACACTAGTACTGCATTTGGTGCTGTGATTGTCTGTACTCTTCCCTAGGGTGGAGTGGTAGAAGTAGTGCAGCAGCACTGAATGCCATGTACAGTGTTGGGGAGGAGAGGACTGGAGATATGAGAATGCAGCTCTCTATGGGCTGTAGAGGGAGGTGAACATAGGTCTGTTGAACTTGAGGGTCAACAAGAATTCCAGCACGTTTCTTTGCTGCTTGAGAAGCACTAGTATCTCTGCTGCACATCTCTCCTTTTCCTATGTTGTTCTCCTCTCTGTTGTATCCTTGTCCATTTTATCCCTGAGGGCGATCTGCCAAACCCCATGCTTGAAATCAGAAGCACCAGAGCCATGTAGGATATCTCAGAATATGTCATCCCGCATCCTCTTGCTTTTCTGGCTGAGCCATGTCCCTGGTGTGGAGAGGCCCTCAAGGCCATGTTTCTAGCTGCAGAAGGTACTATGAACAAAGATACCATTGTGAGTATTCACAAAATAAACAGTAATGTGGCATACTGAACTCACTTCCTTCAACACACCCAAGTTGCACGCACCACGTTCTCACTTCCACTTGGAATTCATAGAGCAAAGTGGCAATCCCAGCCATAGTGAGTAAGACCTATTGGGAGTTGGGGCAATAAGAGAGGCAGCTCCTGGGCATGAGTATGTGCAGATACGGCAAATGAAGTGAATACTGGCACTGTTTTCCATAGGAAGTGGTGATTTTAGCTGATCTCTCACTCCTGAGGGTAACCGACACAGAAAGGAGGCTGCTCTGCACATGTCCATATGCAGACCAAGTCCATATGCTGCTAGCCTGGGAGCTGTATTGGTGTGTCTGAAATAACTGCTGGGTGGCATTGGAGTGTCCTACCAGAGTGGAAGAAATAAGGAAGCCCTTCCCAGAAACCTTTGGCAGAAAATTGCAGAGTACCTCCTGGAAAGATTTTTCGAGATCCGTATCTCGGATTCATGGGACATCCTGGTGCACATAAACAGAACAGGGCAATGGGCGCCAGATAGCAACTCTACCTTTGTTGGAGATTTTGCTTCCTCTTCTATCATCATTAAAAAAGAGTAAGTGAACAGGTTTGTCCCTGCAATATCAAAGCAAACTGCACAGTTAACAGGTTCCTTCTCTCATCAGGTGCACCTGTGCTGGAATGTTGGACTAGGTCGACTATTCTGGAGTAAAAAACGGGCCCTGGCTCACTGTGACACTCTATTCACTTGTCCCCTACTGCTCTTCTTTGTCCAATCCCTCCTCCTTATTGTTCACTCTGGAGGCCTGTGACTCTGACTTCCTAAGTATTTTTGGGGCTCGTGGGAAGGGGTCTCCCCCAAGTATTACATGCAGCACTTTCTAAATATTGTACCATAGCGACCGTTAGCCTCCCTGACTTTCTAGTGCACCTGCTGCTGCTCCTTGGCTTTCATATACACCACTTCTGCAGGTCCCTCTTGTATCCCTTTTGCCCCATGCCCTGAGTGATCTGCTCTTAGCTATCAATGTTTTTACAGCTGGCTCAGAACTGACAGCATAGCCTCTTCTCCCCGCAGATCCACCGTCTCCCCTGTTTCCAGACAGGAGCATGACTGCAGCAAGGAGTCAGCAGGGCAGCTGCTAGATGAGCTCTCCAGGCTGAGCAAACAGGAAATGGAATTTCAAAAATTTGAGGGCATTTAGAGGGGAGGGATATATACATGTGTAGAATCATAGAACACTAGAACTGGAAGGGACCTCAAAACGTCATTGAATCCAGTCTCCTGCCCTCATGGCAGGATCTAGTACCATCTAAACCATCCCTGATAGATGTCTATCTAATCTGCTCTTAAATATTTCCAGAGATGGAGATTCCACAACCTTGCTAGGCAATTTATCCTGGTATTTAGCCACGCTGACAGTTAGGAAGTTTTTCCTAATGTCCAACCTAAACCTCCTTTGCTGCAGTTTAAGCCCATTGCTTCTTGTTCTATCCTCAGAGGCTAAGGAGAACAATTTTTCTCCCTTCTCCTTGTGACACCCTTTTAGATACCTGAAAACTGCTATCATGTCCCCTCTCAGTCTCCTCCTTTCCAAACTAAACAAGCCTAATTCTTTCAGTCCTCCTTCATAGGTCATGTTCTCTAGACCTATAATCATTCTTGTTGCTCTTCTCTGGACCGTCTCCAATTTCTCCACGTCTTTTTGAAATGTGGTGTCCAGAACTAAACACAGTACTCCAACTGAGGCCTAATCAGCACAGAGTAGAGTGGAAGAATGACTTCTCGTGTCTTTCTCCCAGCACACCTGTTAATGCATCCCAAAATCATGTTTGTTTTTTTTGCAACGGCATTACACTGTTGACTCATATTTAGCTTGTGGTCCACTATAACCCCTAGATCCCTTTCTGCCGTACTCCTTCCTAGACAGTTGCTTCCCATTCTGTATGTGTGAGACTGATTGTTTCTTCCTAAGTGGAGCACTTTACATTTGTCCTTATTAAACATCATCCTGTTTACCTCAGACCATTTCTCCAATTTGTCCAGATCCTTTTGAATTATGACCCTATCCTCCAAAGCAGTTGCAACCCCTCCCAGCTTCGTATCATCTGCAAACTCAATAAGCGTACTCATTATGCCAATATCTAAATTGTTGATGAAATATTGAACAGAACCGGTCCCAAAACAGACCCCTGCGGAACCCCACTTGTTATGCCCTTCCAGCAGGATTGTGAACCATTAATAACTACTGTCTGAGAAGGGTTATTAAGCCAGTTATGTGCCCACCTTACAGTAGCCCCATCTAAGTTGTATTTGCCTAGTTTATTGATAAGAATGTTGTGTGGGACCGTATGAAATGCTTTACTAACATCTAGCATTACCCCGTCCACTGTTTCTCCCTTATCCACAAGACATGTTATCCTATCAAAGAAAGCTATCAGATTGATTTGACAGGATTTGTTCTTTACAAATCCATGCTAGCTGTTACTTATCACCTTATTATCTTTCAGGTGTTTGCAGATGATTTCCTTAATTACTCGGTCCATTATCTTTCCTGATACAGAAGTTAAACTGACTGGTCTGTAGTTTCCTAGGTTGTTCTTATTTCTTTTTTTAATAGATGGGCACTAGATTTGCTCTTTTCCAGTCTTGTGGAATCTCACCAGACTACCATGATTTTTCAAAGATGATAGCTAGAGGCTCAGATACCTCCTCTATCAGCTCCTTGAGTATTGTAGGATGCATTTCATCAGGCCTTGGTGTACCTCTTAAAATCAGGAATAAGGGATCCTCTTAAAATCAGGAATAAGGGATCTTCCGGAAAAGGCTTTATTTTCTGAAAGATCCCGTCTAGACTGGTGCTTTTCTCTGGCAAAGCCCCGAGCCGGAAAAAAGCGGCAGCCATGTTCATGCAAATGCTGTAGGGAATAGTTAAATTCCCTGTGGCATTTGCAATTCCGACTTGTCTCATTAGCATCCCTTTTCCGGAAAAGGGTGCCAATGTAGACACAGCCTGGCTGTTTAGACTGCAAGCTCTTTGGGGCAGGGCTTTGTTCTTACTATGTGTTTCTCTAGCACCTAGTTCAATGTGGCCCTGATTTTGGTTGAGGCCTCTATCTGTTGCTTCAGTACAAATACGTAATAAATTAAATTTCTGAAACCCTTTGTCTGATTACAGTACACTGGATTTGGACAAGAAGTACACAAGTTTCATTTTCCCAACTTACATTTAATCTGAAGCCATTCAACCTCATACTGAGTGCAGCTGTTAGAGAAAAGCAAAGGCACTCATAGCCCCACTGCTGTTCATAATTCACCATGCTCTGTGCGCGCACATGCACTCTAAATCCCAAGGATATGTAGTAAAGTTGTCCTGTTTGGCTGCTTTCCTGAATGTGCTATTGCCAATGCACAACTGGAAGAGAATAAAAGGTACTCTTGTTACCCTCATGCCACTTGTTTAAAATTACAGCAGTCAGTATTTTCCCCTTAATCTGTGTAATTTTTTTTATCTGAGAGAGAGCAGTTTTGAGGTGGAGCAACACTGATAATTTGAAATGGCAAAGGTTAAAAAAAAAAAAAAAAAAGTAAGTATGTGCAAGGTTCCAATTTCCTGAAGAAGTTTTCAAACACAAAGCTTCTTTAACTATTTTGGTCAAATTGTTTTGTTTGTTTCTTGACTGGTACTTTGTAAAACCAGTTAGATCCACACAGACATATACTCCCACAGGGTGCCTCACTGATTGAAATGGAACACCATGCACTAGCAGAAGAATGTAGATATGTTTTACAGCAGGGCTACTCAACATGCGGCCTGCATGCGACCCGCATGCAGCCTGTTTGCGGCCCAAAGTATGGTTTGGGTTTACACGGATTTTAACACGTGGCCTGCAGGTAGGATCCTTTGAACATGGCCTCCACAGTGAACACTCTCCACAACACGTAGCGAGGTGTCTCCCAGGTGGGGTGAGCACTGAAAGATGCAAGCGGATGGACTAGCTGGAACAGACGGGTACAGGGTGTCAGCATTTCTAGCCCCCAAGGAGGAGGTGCTGGGAGTGTCAGGGCATTGTGTGAAAGAAGCTATTTGCATATATTTACATGTATATGCAACCACATTTAAGTTGCAGCCCTCAGTATGTGCTGTGAGTATCGTTGTGGCTCCAGGGGCTTCCAAAGTTGAGTAGCCCTGTTTTACAGGATTAGGACAGTAGATTTTTCTGCTAATTTTTCAAAGGCCCTTTGATCTGGCTAGCCTCCATTGCTCTGGCTCGTTATGAACTAATTCTGTGGCCTGCTGAATTCCCGAATTTTGTGAGAGCTTAGAGGGCTTGTCCACGAATAGGGGCAGGCCCTAGTCAGACCCTCCCGATAAATAAGAACACCACACACATCGCTTCTTTGTTATTTCCATATCATGAAGCATAAATACTGCTCTGCAAGCTGTATAAATGCTGCACACTCCTGAGAGAGGATGAACACATCTGAAATTTCACTAGCCTGATTCAGCATCTGAAAACTCACTAAAAATTGTTAAAACTTAAAAAACAACAAATAGTCTAGCAGCACCTTAATTTCATTTCTTTGCACTGTAATTGTGAATGAGGACAGTATTTTTCAGGACCAGTATGTACTGCTAGTCTAGAGCCCACTTCTGCTAAAAAGATTGGAAGTAAACATCACAATGCCACTGGACAATCCCCTTTATTAAATTACAGTTTTAAAAACAGGAACTTGCAGTTTCATTTTTACACTCTCTGCTGAAACAACCTTGACATACAGATGATGTTATGTAGCTTCTTTGTTTTCATTCTGGGACAAGGATTTAGCTTTTTCAGATCCTGGTCTAGATTTTTTGTTGAGGGTGAGTACGCTTCCAGCACTATCATACCCAAGCCAGGAAGGAGGATCAGCATCATTATATTCTTGCTTCTCTAACTTGACTGAATATTTCAGAACAGCTTGTCTGAAGAAAAAATGAAAAATAATATTGTTGCACAAGCAATTTCTACCAAGAATATTTGTAAAAAAATACAAACACTGATAAGCCAGATTCTCAGGGTGACCATATTTCCTACCCCACTAAGTAGCAGTTGATACAATAATGGTCTTAGAAGTGAGTTGCTTTCACTGGGATAGAATTTGAGGCTATTTTATGCTATATGAAGCATGCAGTAGTGTTTGTAGCCCTCTGGGACATGCTGTCATTTGGGCATCTCCAGATGAGATAGGGCTATTAAAGTGAGGTTACAGTCTCAGCTGCTAGTAGGGAGCCAAGATGTCTTGAAGTGCTGTTAAGGGACATCTTTAGCTGATACTGAGGTAGCACTAATGGTTTCAGACACAGCTCTGGCCTTGCTTTCCTTGGCCCCTGAGAAAATGCTGAGGACACAGCCTTTGATTTGGGATTAGGAAAGAATGAATGGGGGCAGGATCAATGACATGCCCCACTACATTTTTCAGGACCGGTATGTACTGCAACTCTATATAGAGAATGTGGCCAAACTTACTGAGCTGCTGACCTGCATACGCCAGTCTTCAGAAGTTCAAGAGCTGAGATATTCCTACCAGGGCTCAGAGATTCAGCCCTGCACTAGATGCCTGCTGGGGCTCCAGCCCTGCTCCCATTGAGGCCCTGAGCTCCAGCAGGCAGCCCTAGTGGGAAAACCCACACACACAAACCCTCTCTCTCTCTCTGGCCAGAAGCCCCAAGTCCCTCCCTTTTCCCATTGGGCAGAAGCCTCTATTCCACCACCCCTCTGCAAGGTAGACTCCTGAGGCTCCTCCCTCTTCCCCTCCCCCCCCATCCAGCCAGGAAGGGACATGAAGGGGACTTGGGAGCCACACTTTAACTTCTCTCTCCAACATCCAGCCTCCTCACCCACCCCATCCCTCACAACCAACTACAGTTTCACATCCAGGAGCTTTATGGCCTCTCCCACCATTATTTCCTCTCTCCATATAAAAGAGCTGTTCACTCCTATGATTTAACAATAAGATGGTAATGTAGGTGCATATTTTTGTCTTAGGTTTTGGCTTCAGGCAGGATTTGAATGTGGTGAGGGTCATGGTTGG